TTCAAATTAGCCTCGTGAAAAAATTTTCTTCGGGGGCGTGGCTACCGCCACGCCCCCTTTTCAGAAATTTTGGGGTCAGGAGCCCGGAAAAATTTTGGGAAACATCCCAGAAAATTTTTGGGAGTGCGTGGCTAACGCACCTTCATCGAAAAAATTTTTTGTCCCCCCTCCCCCGAGCCGAAATCCTGGGTACGCCACTGGCGTGAGATTATTTTAGAGCCTGACGCGAGCACATTACTACATTCAAGTCATCCGAAATGTGATTGTTGTCAAATGCAAACAAGGTAAATGATTCAAAAAGTTGAAGTTTGCCGAACAGGGTACCGCACCCTGTAGAGTTATCAGAGCAGTAGCCGCCTTATCGTTTAGAAAATTTTATATTGGTTGTGCCAACAAAAAAATCGTGAAGCATTTCCAATTCTGTGGCCGAAAGCTAGTCGTATATTTGCATTTTGATATCGCCCAAAATCGGGCTTTATAGTTACCGTAAAGGCACATACTTCTTCCGAGCATCCAGAAACTCACCAACCAAACATCCTTGCCACCTATGCTCCTCCTTGCCGTTCCACTTTTCCTTCTTGCTCCGCTTCAGACTTGCGTGCGATATTTCTGTGGATGTTTCGGAGGATAATTCATCCTTCCTGGTGAAATCGCTCTGAAACAGCACAACATCCTCATCGCGAATCAAAACAGCTTCATCTGTCGTGGTAACACAACTATGCGAAAATGCTTGGTCTGAGCGTAATAAATTTTTATTTTCTGGATATGAACAAATCAATAAATTTGGTCTACCCACCTTTTAGTCGCCAAAGTAGCTCAAAGAATTGGCCATAGGTTGCCGACAGCTGTTGCCAGGGTTACTGGGCTGCCAGTGCTGTCAGTCCTTGTGGAATCTCATAGTATCTGTGTGCCGTTACACGCTCTCTAAACGGCAACTCCAAAACTCGGCAACCTCGGCAACGCCGGCAACCCAGACAACCCGGCATCAGTTGCGCCTACCTATGGCCAAACCCTATGGTAAGCAATGTAGTGCTAAGTTTCGGCGCTTGAAGTAGTCAGAAAAATCCAGATGAAAAACGCAATACAAACGGACTTTGAGTTTCATATGTACAGGCTGCGCCAAAATTACCTGCGCGTGTTCGCTTGGGTGCCAGAAGGATACAAGGCGGGCTTTTTGACGGTTTAAGCATGCATATGTTTTCACCAAACATAAGCATCGTGCTGCTATAGTCAATCAAAACTTGGCTGCTTATTTCGAAGAAATCTCAAATCCTCTTGACAATGGAAGTGTGCTGTGTACGTAAGCAGAACTTCGAGAAACTTACACGATATCTTTTAGGAACCTTTACTCTTGTTTTGATAGTGGGCTTTAAAGTAGAGCAAAGCCTTCTCAACACTGCTAAGCTTGGAAACCTGAAAATTGATTCAAAGATGGATTTTCAATTTTTCAAAAACATGCTTGGAGACAGCATATCGAAAACTAGTGATATTTTTGCCTTGCTGAGTGCGCTTGAAAGTCAGCAAATCTTATATATGAAGCTGAATGTCTGTTTATATGTATGTCTGTGTGTACATATATGGCACACATATACTTCGGGGCGGGAAGCGCGTCATAGACTACCATTCGTTTTCGATCGTTATCGATTTTATTGATTTTTTGTCGATTTTTTTACATAGTTCAAGCTACGGGGCTGGGAGTTGGAGTAATCAAGCATGCTGATTACGATTACAACATTGGTTTCTGAATTTATTGATTATCTTTATCGATTTTATCGAATCTTTGCAAATCTCGAGCTACTGGATGGGAGTTGGCACAAGAGGGTAAGTGTGCATGCTGATTACGATCAAAATATTAGTTTTTGAATTATCGATTATCTTTATCGATTTTGGCTTTTTGCAGATCTCGAGCTACGAGATGGGAGTTGACACAGGGGGATAAGTGAGCATGCTGAGTACTGACACAGCGGGAATAGGGAATTGGCATGCAGAAATGGGTACAGGGAAAGGTTTTACAGGGATAGGGATGTGACCTTTATCGTAATCTTTTGGCACAGCCTCTGTACATAAGGTTATTGTTCGTACGCAGGTATTTTTCTAAAAACATTTTTGTATTTCGCGAAAGACTAAGTTAGGTAAACGCAACGAAAACTGTGTGACAGCGCAAAGGTGCTCTACAAGCTCAGTTCGGAATGTTCAGGAAGACTTCATGTTTATTTAGTGGCAGAGCAAAACATGAACCAGAAATTCCATGTTTGCTTCTTCTCAAAACTGATAACCCGTTTCTTTCAATCCTCTCATTCATAAAAAGAAGTTTTTTTTGATTCTGCAAAATGTTTACAGTAATTTACAACATTCTATGGCACTTAATTGAGCCTACATTTTTCAGTGGTTCTTCCGTGGCAGTGCTGCAATTTTAACGCAGATAATTTTGGGCACCCTGTAGATTACTGGAAACATGTTCAGTCAAAGTGGCGTTAGGGAGCATAAGGTATTGAAGAGCATAAAACTCTGATTCCGAATCTTCCTTCCTTATCTGCGAAACATTGTGTACGGGGAGTTCTGCGCGTTTATTTATTAGAGCAGAAAATCAAATGTGCTGGTAGGATAAAATAAGTTGCTAAAATCTTACTAGTTGTAAGAAAACGTATGATATGTTTTTTTCAATACAGAGTATTTATTAAATGAAGCGCTCAAACAATTAACACTGCTCCATCAAAGTGTTAAAATAAAGTACGGCTGTTCTTGTCCTAAAGGCGAGGCATACTTCTTGCGTTATTGTCGTCGATTTGATGAGGGTGACGATGTAATCGCTGCGACTAAATCGCTAGTTACTTGTTCACGGGCATCTTCTGCAGCGATTTGTGCATTCTCATACTCGAGCACATGACATACGTCCTCATACTGCTTACGAGTATTTCTATTACTCGACCTGATTTTTTTAATTGTATTTTCATTTTGTATTCCTAAATTGATTTCAATTGCAAAACGAATGATATTTTGACGCCTTTTTAATGAGCGGTTTTCTACGTTAGTCGATTTGGCTCAAACTTAGTTCAAAAGGGTTATTTGGACCACTGATGCCAAATTTCATATGCGCCATGTGCGCCAACGCCATTTCGTTGGCACTAGTGGGATATGTAGACGTTAAAATCACGATTTTGCTGAAACTTAACTTAGGAGAATTATTGGACATGCTAATTACAAAAGATCGTACTCTTTTTGCTGTTGTGACCTTACCGCAAAGTTAGGATGGGTATATGACAGGGGTGTCAAAGTTATAACTTGCCTGAAACTTCTTGCAGTTCAATTATCTGACGTCCTGATCGCTGATATCGAGTTCATATCGCATTATAAAGTCTTCACATAAATTTTTGTGATCTAAGTTGGCCTGAAACGTGAAAAATGTCTATATAAGTTATAAAATTGTGCAAGCGAGTTGTTTATATTTGTGTACAATTGAATTAATTTTTGATTTTCAAAATTTTTCAGAAGACAATTTTCGGGGATATGGGCCCGTTTTTTTCACCTTCGGGGTTATGGGCCCGCGAAATTTCGAGAAGCATACCAAAAATTTTTCTGGGTGCTCAAAAGAGAATTCATCAAAAAAATTCTTGCTCCCTTCCCCCAAGCGGAAAACCTGGGCACGCCACTGGTATATATTCGTGCCCAGCAAGCTATGGAGCAATCACAAATACAAGCAATATTACAAATTACTTATAAAAATATTCTCGAACTGAAAAGCACCAACCGTAGCAATTTCGAATGTGATTTTCCGGATTTAAAAATAAGTATAGTTGAAGGCAGAATTATCACAACTCAATATAACAAAACGGACAGCTTCAACTTTAAAGTTAACAAATTTACTCATTCAGGATCACATATCAGTCTGAATGTCAAAATTGCAATTATTTACAGTGAGATTTTGAGATTTTATAGGACTTGTACTAAATTTGAAAACTTTGTTGAAAGACTAGAATTACTTATAGATCAACTTTTAACACTACAGTACACTCCCAACATCATTTCTAATGCCATGATCAAATGTTTGAATAAAAATAAATACATATCATACAAGTATTTGCAACTACAATCCTTCAAAACCACTAAAACCTTTGTTACTAAAATGCTCACAAAAATGCAACTCAGCTGATTTTTTTGACTTTTTTGATCTATTTGCTCTACCCCTCATGTATAAATACCCCCCTTAAACCAATCTGTCCCAGTGCACCACTCTTCCCTACTGACGAGCCTCGGGAGTGGTTAACACTATAGTAACCTGTATAGGGGTAGAGGCGAAACAGGCGTAAAGAACCCATCATATCAATATTTACTATTTAAAACTACTAAGATTACTAGCGTCCGAGAGGGAAACCCGGGACACTAGCTAATCTTAGTTGGTAATCTGTTTCCCTATTATTGAAAAAAATTTAAAGTAAACCGTTATAATTCAAGTAACCACTTAGCCAACAGGCAACTCTAGGCCAACTGGTCAGCTATCAACAGATAGCAAAGTTTTCTTACATGAATCACATCAAGTCTCAAAAAAATTACGTCTTACCCGTTAAACCTTTTAGGAATTTCATTTCATTACCTTTTTTCAACTCACAAAGTTTTCATTTGAACTACTCATCAGCTTTCATTTCATCTATAGGATAACTGAACCATAACAAGTATTGGTTTCATCAATGTCAGCGTGCAGATCTTTTCGCTGACCGAACAGTAGCATACTGGCAAGATATATCAATTCATCAATCGACAAATCCAACACTCATATTCTGATATTCTATCATTAACAGTCACTCAAAATGGTTTATGTCAGCAGATAAAACAGGTTAATCAAGAGTAAAATTCTGAGCATCTACTATAAGATCTCAAGTCAGATCACTGCGAGTCCACATGCTATGATAGAGAAGAATCAGTAGTCATGAGTTCAGTTGCACCTTAAATCAGTCTTATTAATAAGGAAACAAATGAACGTAAACTATCAAGTTACTAACCGATTAGAAACTCTTGCTAGTGCTTGGGCGGTCAGAATTGTTCGACAAGGCAACCTGAAAGCAACAGCATCATCTACTTGCTACTTCAAATATTTATTAAATATATATATATAAATTAATTAATTAATTAAAATAAATGAATAAATTTATAGATAAAAAAAACATACTTTCTTATATTTCTTTGGAATAGTACTATCCTCTTGAGAACGTCTCTTCTTTTTTACCTGCAATACAAAACTATATTGATTTTGATATATAATTACCAACATGCCACATCAGAATAATTCTCCTTATTCGAGATTTCTTTGTTTGAAGCATCAACTTCCATATCAGCGCTTCCATCCCCAACAGATTCCTTTTGTTCTTCAATGGTCAAACCAGGTAAAAGTAATTCACCGATTACAAGCTTTCCCTCCTGAAATATACATCATTGCATAATTATAACATTAAACACTTATTCCCCACTGAAAGAGACCACTTACTTCTTCTTCTTTCTTCAATTTCATATCCAGTAATTCAGAAAGTGGAGTCCCGTTCCAACCAGGTACTTTCCAATTGAGGCGACGGGCAAGGATGACAGGGTCGTACTGAAATTAAATTTCTAAGTTACAATAGAAGCCTTTCAATAAAAAAGTCACTTACCATCCCCAGGCCCACTATTTCAACTTTATTCCTACGAATACGCACTTCAGGTCCTCTCTTTCGTGCGGCTTGATAACACTGACGAATTTGCAAACGTAGAAGTAAACTGAAAGATTCATTATAGAATATTGATGTTTACAAAAGATAGCCCGACAAAAGAACGATTACTAATGAAAATCGTGGAATACCTAGGCAAACTGTTAACTACAAACCAACGGGAAGAAAAGTTTGAAGAAAAACCAAAGAATTTCCAGACAATGGGAGTCAATGAACGAATTTCAGCTTATGATGAAAAAATGGGGAGAAAAATGAACAATTTCCAATCCAGTTTAGTCAAAGGAAAGATTTTCGTTCAAAAAGGTGAAATACTAAACGTTTTTGCCAAAAAGATAAGTCAATACGAATAGAGGTACACGATTCACAGCCAAAAATAATCAATGAAGAATAATACGAATTTCAACTTCAGGCAATCCATCAAAGAAAAATTTGACGATTTGCAGCAATATAGTTTCAATTGAATGATAACATTTGAATTGATGATGCAATCAGGACGTTTTGGTGTAATGATGGATGTAATTACAGACTTAGTTTTCATGACGGTCAAATTTCATTATGATTTGTGACTGAATGTGTACTTGCGACCTTACACAGAGTACGACGGAAAAGGTTTACTCCAACTAAGGTACTTCTTGACCCTTCTAACACTTCAAGGGAATACCAAAACACAGATATTCGGATATGGCACGAGTTCGAGTCAAAATTAGTGAATTCGAGGTGATCTTCATACAAAACGGTGAAAGACTGAACAATTTTCGGCCAAACTGGGTCAGTGAGAAAGATTGAACGATTATCTGGCAAATCGGGTCAACAAGAATAGCAATGAACAATTCGAAGCTATGAGTAGTAAAACAGAAGAAAATGGCATGATTTTCTACTACTATGGTTTACTAGGAAACAAATTTGTGCAAACAGCAGCAAAGTCCGTCCATATGAAACACATATGAACTGAAGAAGCAATCAGACGTTGGTGTAATGATAGATGCAATTACGAACTTGGACTTTGGGACGGCTGATTTCATCGTCATGAATTCTGACTACATGTGTATCTACGACCTTGCACAGAATAAGACGGATATGGTTTATTCTAACCATAATAACCGATTCCAACACAAAAAGAATACCAAAACACGAAAACTGAACTGTTTCGAATCGAAATAAGTCAGGTTGACAGTCTCCAACCGAGAAGGTGAAAGATTGAAAGATTGAACGATTTTCTAGCAAAAATGGGTCAACTGCAGTAGAATAAACGATTCACAGCCAAAAGTAGTCTACCAGAAGAAAATAGCACGATTTTCGACGGCTACGAATCAATAATTGGCAAGGGTGAACTAGATGCAACTGGATACTTACCACAGTCTATTCTAATCTGTTTGACGTATCGTTTGCTCCTGCAGTAGGAGTATGTTGGTCCCGTGCTTCTTGTTATATTCTTTCAGGACCTCTTTTCCAATACCTGTGTACCAACGCCAAAATGCATATGTAGCCTTGACCTAAAAATAAAATCATTCTTATTCGGAGGGAAAAAAAAATCTAAACATTACTTACGCTTATTGCGAAAGTATTTGAACCAATTCCACACGGACGTGGCCACCCCATGGGATGCCTATCATCCTGCGCATCGTACCTAGAAATATTAGGTCGTTCCGAAAGTTCTTTCCATTTTTCCAACTAATCATAAAAACACGTGGAACGAAGAAAGGAAAACGCTTCAGGCACTGTCCGACGCAACTTTTCTTCCTCTTTTCAACTATCATATTCTTGTGCCGCTCGCTCTTGTGGTCAGTGAGATAATGGCCAAAATTTCAGACCCATGGTTTTTACCATGTCCAAATTTGGCAATTTTTCATTATCTTCTTTTTTGACTTTTGGAAAAGCTTTGATAGCAATCGGATAGAGTAAACAAAGTGCAATATCATGCAATTTTTCGGCATCTATAGCCAGCCTCAAAACATTTTTAGGATTATTTTTCTGATGCCATCAAATTCCACTTTTGGGGATGTCAGAAGCCATAGAACATAAAACGGCGCACAACTAAGGTGTCATTCGATGCAGCTTTTTCTCGTCTTTCTGATGAATGCTTTTTCTTCTTAGTTTGTGCGGTCTTTGACGATAAAATTTCCACAAATCTTGATTTTGAAACCGCGTAAGGGTATACACGTGAAATGCGAAATCTTATATTTTGAAGCGGTAAACGCTCAGTTACTTTGTAAAAATAGTGGACAATCATAAACGACTTTTGAAAGTTTCGAAAACCGAAGATTTGTTGATGTTCAGAGCGTTTGTGTGTTTTGTGACTTTGAAAAAGTGAAGACTTCTGGAAAAGTTATCTCAAAAAATAATGGGAAGCCAGCTGAAATTGCCAAAAAATTGCATTGCATTGCACTTTGTTTACTCTATCCGACTGCTATCAAAGCTTTTCCAAAAGTCAAAAAAGAAGATAGTGAAAAATTGCCAAAGTTGGACATGGTAAAAACCATAGGTCCGAAATTTCGGCCATTACCTCACTGACCACAAGAGCGAGCGGCACAGGAACATGATAGTTGAAAAGAGGAAGAAAAGTTGCATCGGACATTGCCTGAAGCATTTCTCTTTCTTCGTTCCACGTGTTTTTATTATATGATGAAAAAACGGAAAGAACTTTCGGAACGACCTAATATTTATGTAACTTTGATACAAACCAATATTTCTCTAACTTACCCTAATATCCTTTGTATATCTTCGATCAGGACGTCAAAGTTCTTTTTCATGCGTATAGGCAAATTTATAATTTTAATGTATTCTTGCAAGACACGTACGTTGACACTCTCCGCAAATCGTTCCTTTCTTTCTTCCATGTGATTATTTAATATATACAATCTAGTTAGGTGCTAACGACATTGAAATTATAAGAATTAAACATTTAGTTAGTTAGAGCAATAATCAAAAAATTGTTAGACTAAAACTTAAAAGACACGGGGACGTTAATGAGCAATGGAAAACATTGAATATCCTACCCAAAAAAATAATTTTGACTCGTATCATATCATTTCGTAGCAACCCGCTATCAATGCACTTCGTAGCTACCCGTTAGCCTTATAGCGAGTTTTTGTACACACGAAGATATACTATATAAAAAAGGATTTTACAGTACCTAACTAGATGTAACCATCAAGGGAAGGCAAACATAAATAAGCCCTTGCTGATAACTTCCCCTTTTTTGTAAAAAATTAAGAACAAAACATAGGGGGACAGGTTGTTACCTTACGGGCTGGTTAGTTTAAACCTTTTTTCCATTCAGTTATTTTCTTTTACCTTTTTACAGTAATACTACCGATGGGGTCAATACAAGTAGCTACTGGCAGGGGAGGGTAAGTACTGCGCCTCCGGTGTATTACTTTCTTTAGGGAGCGCCAACCCCTGGAAGCAGTCCTTCCGAAACCTAGTGTAACCTTCCCTCTGGTATGGGATTAAGCCATTCTTTACCTTAGATTTTAAGCTTAAAAACAAAAATGCGCATACATGTCTCACTTCATCTTCTTACTTTCAGGTCACATCTTTCCTTAGGAGTAAGGTAAATGGCGAATACAACCTATTGCATTTTGGTACCGAAAACAAGGGCTATGCATGTAATTCATCTTGTAGTATATGCCATAACTTTCTTATCCATGACAACTACATCAAATAAAAAACAACTGGATTGGTAATCAAGACTTATAAATCCGAAGAAGCTAATTGCAAATCAAAAAATGTAGTATACTGTATAATGTGTTCAACTTGTGGCTTGCAATATGTAGGTATAACTACAAGAGAATTTGGTATTAGGTTCAAAGAACATTTACGTGGAATCAAAAGAAAAGAAGAAAATAAACTTTTATATAAACATTTTAAAACATGTAACAGTGACAGTAATATAAAGGCCATTATATTAGATAACTCTCTAGAAAATAAAGACACTGATATTCTGAGAGGTAAAGAATTATTTTGGACAAAATTACTTATGACAGCCATGCCATTTGGATTTAATGATAATATCAAAGGCTATGGTAACTTAACTATGATAAGTAACCCACTTAACCACAAAAGCAATCATCCTTTTTTCAATCTGAACATAACCAAAGTCAGAAATAACCGTGGTAATAAAAGAAAAAAGAAAAACAAACTAAAGAAGGGAGCTCAATCTATAGCAGAAGAATTACAACAATTGATTGCTAGTAATCCTTCATATTATGACCTTTACAAAGTACTGAAAAATAAAAATAAATATTACATTAGTTCTCTTATTAACCTCGTTACACTTAATACTACAGCTCTAAACATTCCTACTCATTACAAGCAAGCACTCTGCTGCATATTGTGTCATTATCACTTTAGCGGAACCAATTCTACTAACCAAAAACCCATTTTCATTAATATTAGATTCCCATATTATAGTACAGTTCTAGATGAGATTAGCATCAATAAGCTTATTAACAATAAAGATATAACACATTTGATCAAACAACATAGCCAAAAACCTTATCAACGTATTAGAATCATTTATCAATATAATAAACACCTATCCACAAATATATTTAATTATAACAAATTTCTCAATAGTCTCCAAAACCTCGATATTAATAACATGCCTTGTGACTGCAATTCATACAAACAATTTGTAAATCCCAATTTCAACCATGTAGTAACAGGAGATATTAATATTTTTGAAAGAGAACCTATTTATGAGATACTAAGCAAAGGAACAAAATTCCGTCATTCCCCTAACCTTAGTCCAAAACAGATTTACGATTTATGGATTGATTTACTTAAGACAATCACTAACAAACATAAAACTAGACATTCCTTATCTGATATAATATCCAGCAAAATATTAGAAATACTAACCCAGTCCTTTGTCAGAATTAAACATAAATTGTTATACCCTAGAAATAAAAACTTAACCCCTCCTCTTTTTAATATCAGACAATTACAAAAATTCTTTATTTTTTGCCCATTAGATAAAGCTAGTTCTAATTATGGTATTATTTGTAAAAAGCTATATCTTTCCATTTTAACTAAAGAAATGAATCTTCAAAGAGACGTACAAGACACACTAGTATACGATTATTTGGGTAAAATTAATGTTCAAGATATCATTAGTAGACATAACAGCCTAGCCATTAATCTTCACCTAAAACCAAATACTGACGGAATTATTCCTAACATCTATTGCATCCCTAAACTTCATAAACATCCAATAAAATTTAGATTTATAACTGGTGCAAGAAACAGCAGTATCAAGCCTTTATCAGAAGAACTTATGCGCATTTTATGTTTTATGAAAACACATTTTAAAAATTATATAAATATAGTATACAATAACAAAAATTGCTTACCAACGTACTGGTCCATCAATGACATAAATATCTCATACATTCTTAGTAACATAGTAGACACTAATTTGCAACTCTATTCCGCAGACTTCACAAACATGTTTACTAATATTCCACATGATGTTATCTTAAAAAACATAAACGCTATACTCAAAATATGTTTTAAGAATAGTAATAGTAGGTACATTGTTAGCAAAAACAAAAGTTTACATTACTCTAATACACCTCTGAATGGAACTAATTTTAGAAATTATAAAATAGAAGATATAATGTATCTCACTCAATTCCTCCTAGAAAACAGCTACTGTAAAGTCGGACACCACATTTTCAAACAAAAAATGGGTGTCCCACAAGGAAGCAGTGTTAGCCCAATTTTAGCAGATTTGACTTTGTCATATATGGAATATTCTTGTGCTTCTACTCATAAAAAATCTCATAAACTTTTCATACCTTTTAGGTACATGGATGATTTATTGATCATACACAACATGGAGCAATCACAAATACAAGCAATATTACAAATTACTTATAAAAATATTCTCGAACTGAAAAGCACCAACCGTAGCAATTTCGAATGTGATTTTCTGGATTTAAAAATAAGTATAGTTGAAGGCAGAATTATCACAACTCAATATAACAAAACGGACAGCTTCAACTTCAAAGTTAACAAATTTACTCATTCAGGATCACATATCAGTCTGAATGTCAAAATTGCAATTATTTACAGTGAGATTTTGAGATTTTATAGGACTTGTACTAAATTTGAAAACTTTGTTGAAAGACTAGAATTACTTATAGATCAACTTTTAACACTACAGTACACTCCCAACATCATTTCTAATGCCATGATCAAATGTTTGAATAAAAATAAATACATATCATACAAGTATTCAACTACAATCCTTCAAAACCACTAAAACCTTTGTTACTAAAATGCTCACAAAAATGCAACTCAGCTGATTTTTTTGACTTTTTTGATCTATTTGCTCTACCCCTCATGTATAAATACCCCCTTGAACCAATCTGTCCCAGTGCACCACTCTTCCCTACTGACGAGCCTCGGGAGTGGTTAACACTATAGTAACCTGTATAGGGGTAGAGGCGAAACAGGCGTAAAGAACCCATCATATCAATATTTACTATTATAACTTGCCTGAAACTTCTTGCAGTTCAATTATCTGACGTCCTGATCGCTGATATCGAGTTCATATCGCATTATAAAGTCTTCACATAAATTTTTGTGATCTAAGTTGGCCTGAAACGTGGCCTGAAATGTCTATATAAGTTATGAATTGTGCAAGCGAGTTGTTTATATTTGTATACAATTGAATTAATTTTTGATTTTCAAAATTTTTCAGAAGACAATTTTCGGGGATATGGGCCCGTTTTTTTCACCTTCGGGGTTATGGGCCCGCGAAATTTCGAGAAGCATACCAAAAATTTTTCTGGGTGCTCAAAAGAGAATTCATCAAAAAAAAATTCTTGCTCCCTTCCCCCAAGCGGAAAACCTGGGCACGCCACTGGTATATATTCGTGCCCAGCAAGCTAAACACCCTACTCTTCTCCCCCCAGAAAATTTAGAGCAAAACTTTGGGTTTAGCCCCATGCCGTATACCAGCTGCAACTCCACGAAAAGGCTCTGAAACTCAGAAAGAGTTTGATGTTAGTGATCAGCACGTCAGAAACCCCTCAGGCTAAAGTTTAGTTGAATCTTTGGACCCCTCACCGTAAACCCACCGTAATCTCAGAAAATTGCGCTACCTCTCAAATCAATGTGATACTCGGCTCAGCGGATCGAATAACCTTCCTGGACCGAGTTTGAGCAAAATACACAACTTTGAAAGTATGGGGCCCGAATACTGAAATAGCGCCAGAAATAGCAGATTTAAAAGCATCGAATTGCGGAGGAGCATTCATGACGCTAAACAAGAAAGCGGTCTTAAAATCTAAGAAACGGTCATAGAAGCTCCGAAATGAAGTCCAATTTCAGCGATATGATCGCATCGCTCGTTTAAACTTAGCGACGCGATATCGCTTTGATTTAGCCAAATCGCGACGATTTCAGCATGTAAGCGGAAAAAGTTTAGCAATCACCCGCGCCGGAGAACTGTCACAACTGAATGAAGAATGGTCGGCAATGTGATTTTGTAACTGCTGTCTTGTTGGGAGATTTGCGGGGCGATGAGTCCGCATGATGTACGCCCAGCCCTTTACTTACACATTCACTTTTTTGCTTCAATACATGCTCATTACTCCTAGTCCATTGCATTCCGGAAGTTAGGAAGGCACATTTAGAATTATCGCTGTATGCCCTCAATATGGCATACACCACACTCGAAAAGGCCAATTTGAATAAACAGCATTTTGTAAGCATTAACACAACAAAGTTTAGGAACTTTGCTAAAAAGCCAGCATAGCTGAGGGCTGATCCTTGATTAGTCGACAGTTTGAGGTGGTGTATAATATTCCAGCATTCGATTAGGCTCATCTTACGACACG